TGGTCCCCCCTAAACTTTTCTTTATTTCCATGAGTTTTATTATTTATTTATTTTAAAGTGATGAGAGGGCTTTTTACCTTTATTTATTTAAGTTTATCCATTCTTTTTTTTTTTCTGAGAGAAAAAGAGAGAGGAGAGAGTACCAGAGAGCCAGGCGTCCCCACAGATAGTCAAGCTGTTATCCACCCCCAGTTTCAGCTAGCCTGGAGCATGAGCATGCAAGTGACTGCCCAGAGTGCTCAGTGAGGCCCCAGGATATGAACCCATGCCCTTCTATGTGGGTCCAGCTGTGCCTCCACCTGGTTTTTAAGCCAGTCAGCCTCAGACTATCCCAGGGAGTATAGTGCGATAAAGCATGTTTCATATTATGTTTTAAATTTTTTTTTTTTAGAGGTTTTTTCTACAGGGCGTGTGCCCTTGCCAGACAGACAGAGAGAGATGTAGAGACAGAAAGTGAGAAATCACCCCCCAGGGGGATGGCCACATCGCAGTTTGTTCTCCTCCATTCTCTTGGGATTTTGGGTACGCACGCACACGTGCCTGGCGTGTTTGAAGCCACTGGGTCTGGGACACGAACTGCGGTCGACTACATGGGAGTCCAGCGACATGGCCATTACGCTGTTGGTCCCAAATTATTATTTTTTTAAACTGTTGTTTCCGGAATATATTTTGCAAAATGAGATGAACTCCTCTGGACCGTTGGAGCATGAGTTTAAAAGGGTTAATAAATCTTCGTCCATGAGGAGCTCTGAAGGGGCTGGGGAACAGGAGAGAGAAATTAACCCCTTGGGACTCCTCAGGTTTCCTGCTGGAATCTAATTGCCAAGTCCCCACCTTCCTGCAGGGGCGTGGAATCTGCTGACCTGATCCCAGTGAGGCCACGTGTGTCCTCCCCACCTCCCAACTCAGTTCTGGGCCCAGGGCAGCGTGGGAGGGGACCGCATCCTAGGCTCAAGCTGGCTCGGTGCCAGCCATTGAGAGAGAGACTCCCATCACAGCCAGGCTCCATCCTGATGGAAAACTGGAACAGGACCACTTGACAGCCGTGGGAGGAGCTTGCTCCATTTTCTGCCCTCTTCAAATAGCGTGTTTATCACAATTCTCTAGAATCCGTGCGTTCTTCTCTTCAGAGCGGTCATTATTTGGCAGTTCATGTCCACAGCCCTTTTGTGCTGGCAGGCATCTGGGTGGTCATTTTCCCTGCTGCTCCTTTCTGCCCTGCCCTGCCCTGCCCAACCCGGCCTGGCCCTCGTTTCTTCAGCTGTGCAAACAGGGTGGGGCCCTCGCTCTGCAGCGTTGCTCCTGAGGCCTCCGTGTGAGCCTCAGACGTGGGCCCCTTGGGAGTACAGTAAGATGCCCCATCCCCTGTTCACTGAGAATTAGGATCCGGGAGCCAGAGAGCCCCTTCTGGGTGCTGGGGAGATGCCCCCCCCACCCCACTCTACACAGGCTGTGGGGCATTCATCAAGGAGCTCATGGAACAGAAGAGGGGGTGAGAACGAACATGGAAAATTCATTAGGTACATACAAAAACGGGCTAAAATGTGGCCTGAACCTCAGCGCCCAGAGGGGAGGTGAGCTAGGGCGGGGAGCCTCCCTAGAGTTCCCACCTCAGGGGTGCTAGCCCCATGCGCACTTGAGCCACACCCCCATCTTCGGTTGAGGGGGTGATACATTCCACTGCTTGGCCAAGTCTGCCACCTCCAACGGCAAGGGCCTCACCTCACCACATTTTTCTTGGGATCCAAATACTTCCTGTTCTTTTAGGGGGAGGAAAAAGGGGGCCTCTTCTTGGAGAGTCTTTGCTGCTAATGGGTATAGCAGACACTGACTGGGAACGTGATCTGTAAGGCACCATTTCCCCCAACTCTGGCAGTGCACCATGTTTGTCAGACCTGGCTAGGAAATTGGGCTGGGGGCCTGGTAGCTAGGCTGGATCAAATGTTTTCCTTGTTCTTTCTCTTTACAGAGACAGCTCTCATCATGTTCAAAAGCACCTCTTGCATTCATAGCTCATTCTGGATAAAGGTGCAAACCTAGACACACCCAGGGGATGGAGAGGAGATGGGACATTTTCAGTACTGTGTCTTGGCAGCTCTGACCCTAGCCCTAGACTGCCATGCCCATGTGCACTGTTGCTCCCAAGGGAGGGTGTGACAGGTCAACCTTTGCACAGTGCAAACCCACCCCGATTGTGAAGGGAAGTCAAAGGCCTCATCCCTTGGGTTGGGGATGGGGAAGAAGAGGGGTGATGGGAGCAGAAGACAGGGTAGCCTATGTATTGGAAGGGCAGTCCCGGGTAATAAACTAGGGACTCTTGTATTCATGGTGTTCCTGAATTGCTTGGGGGCGGGGGGCGGGGGGCAAGTGCAGCCTGGATCCCTGGAGATTAAGAGTGGTTTTAGCGCCCAGCCCAGCTTGTGGCCTCTTTATCAGATTCCTGCCTAACTCCCATGTCACCAACTTCCCTCTGACTGGTAACATCTTGTCATGTCCCATTTCCTGAAGACTCCTTGGCCCCTGTCAGTGGCTCCAAGGTCTTGGTCTCCCAGGAATAACCTCCCCAGACCTTCACCAATTCACCACAGCCCTTCCCTCCATTCTTCTCCCTAGTGTAAAATTAAAGACTTTTGAAATTCCGATGATTTAATTTATTAGTATCCTGCAGACTGTTAGTTAAACAAACAGATGGCTGGTTTGTATGAAAAAAAAATTAATTGTGCTATAGGGCGCATGTGCTCCCTGAGGAGAGAAGAGGGAAAGTAAGAAACGCTGCCCAGGATGGAAGGTCACACAGCAGTCCCTTCTCCATTCTCCTCTCAGGCTTTTGGGGCACACACACATAGGCACCTGGAGTGTCTTTCAAATTGCCAGGTCCAGAACTCGAACCACACAGTTGGATATGTGGGAGCCAGCTGCCTTAATTACTGCGCCACCGGCTGGCACAGCGTTGTTCAAAATTTGAAGAGAAGAATAATTTTTGGCCTGCTAAAACCCTCCTCCCGTTAGGAGAAAAGAAAGATCACACTGAAAGCTCAACAGGCTGGGAAGAGAGGCCACAGGATATTTGTTTGACTAGGGAGGAACTGCTGTCCTTTGAAAAAGAATTAAAATAGCCCTGTAATTTTTATTACCCAAAACTGTGCATGTAGAACTTTATATGGACCACTCAGAAACAGAAAAGCATAAAGAAAGAAATGAAAACGATTCGTAATCCTACCACCTAGAGGTAACCAGTTAAGACCATACTGTATGAGGAGAACTTAGAAAAGTGTGTGAGAATGGAATTAAAATACAAGTTGATCAGAGCCAGCAGGTGGCATGATGGTTGAGGCACTGGACTCCCACATGATCACCATCAGTTCAAGCCCCAGACCTGGTCGCTTGGAAATCATGCCATGCGTGCATGTGTGTGTGCCCACAATCCCCAGAGGAGAATAGAGGAGAAGGGAATGCCGCGTGGCCATCCCCCCCGAGGGGTGATTTCTCACTTTCTCTCTCTGCTGAGTGCACACACCCTGTGGCAAGAAAACTAACTAAATGAATAACTAAAAGTTTATTTTGATGCAAATGATTTTGAAATCCATGCATATATTTTTCATAGTGTGCATTTCTTTCTCTTTTTTTTTTTTCCTTTTTTAGAGGTTTTCGCTATAGGACGCGTGCGCCCGCCAGACAGACAGAGAGAGACAGAGAGACAGAAAG